GGGTTAAGAGGATTTATTTCTTTAATAGTTTGCTTCAATATAACCATAAAACAGCCATTCAACAAATATTTAACACCCATCCACTGTTGGGCCATACTGTGTGCAGTCACTACAGACAAATGACACATGGGCCTACCTGAAAGCTATCACAGTCTGCTTAGGCGGACAGAGAGCTCCTGTCATATGGATATGCTTACAGTGTCATGGAAGGTATTGTGTATACGGCGATGCTAATGCAATCCGAAGATTTGAGGGTACAGTATTTCCATTTCACCATTAATGACCCTAAAATGACTACTCTAAGAAATTATTAAATCTACAAAAAGTATGAAGATGAAGTTTAAAAGATGAACTGGGTAATTAGTGCCTGGACCTTTCACTGGCAACGGAGGTCTAAACACAGATCTTCTTTCCCAAACCTTGAAGCAAGTTCACACATTACCTGAATTCTTGTAGCTTGTAGCTTGGTGCCTTCCTTAGAATGGGGACTCAGTGTTCCCTGAATGACTTCAGGAACAACATTTTAAAAACATGTTTCTTTATCTCATCAGGGTCGCATGGCTATCCCTGGTTTAATCAAAGACCCTGCCATCTTCAAACTCTTTTGGTTCCTCTTGTTATATACACTTCTTGTTTTTGAGTATCTTTTTTAAAAAATTTATTTTTAACTGCAGAGTGGTCATGAAAATGAAGTAAAATGACATATACATTTTCTAGCAGAGTAGGTTCTCAATAAATGGCTTTTCCCTTTTCTTCCTCTTCCCATTCTTCATAAGCAAACATGAAAAATAAATCTCCAGTTAATATATACAAAGGACACTTAATGATACCTAAGAAGTCTTGAGCCTGTTTTGGTTCCTGTTAATATTTCATGTCAAACACATTAAGGGTAGGTGGAATATTTTATATTTACTTTATTAAATTATGGATTACAAATTGTTTAAGAAATAAGCTAAACTTATTATGGTGAGGGAAATTATTGCACATGCAAATGGAACTAAAATTTCTGTTACTAAAATAAATATCTTTTTATAGGACTTAAGCTGCTTTTTCCATAGCCCTAAACCTTAGAATGAATATTAATTACAGAAAATCTTATTAAGAGGCTGACATGCCTGGGTGTCTGAGGAATTCTAAGTTTGAAACGATTTTCGCCTTTCCACAGGAAATGGGCCCAGGCTGGGGGTCTACAAGAAGGGCACGCATTCATACCCGGCAACTGCATCCTTCAGGGTCCACCTCAGCTGGCTGTGTTGAGACCCAGCGTAGGCAGGCAGCATCTGCTCTGTGAGCTGACCCCAAACTCACTGGGCACAATACTAGTGGAGAAACATACACACACACACACACACACACACACACACGCTCAGAGATTGGAGAGGGGTCCTTTGCCAGCAGTGATTCTATGCTTATGTACTTTTAATTAGATAATCTACACAACAAACCTACAAAATAAGCATTATTGCCCCATTTACAGACTAGAAGACTGAGGCTTGGAGGTTAAATAACTTCCTCAGGGTTACAACCCCAGGTATATCTAATGGCAAATATTGTTAGGCTTCTTCAGAGAAACAGAACTAATAGGTAAGAGATTTACTTTGGGAGTTGACTCACTTGATTATGGATGCTAAGAAGTTCTGTCTTCCATCTGCAAACTGAAGAGCTAATAATTCAATCTCAGACAGAAGACTCAAACAAGGGAGCTAATTTGACCAATGTTAGATTATTGTGCTGTTTGGACCCTCAGTGGATCAGATGACACCCCCACATTGCTGAGACCTGGTTTTCTTAATTTCTTCTACTAATTCAAATGGTGATTTCTCTCAGTTAAAAGAAAACTCTCCCCAGACATGTTTCATCAGGTGTCTGGGCATCCCTTTGTCCAGTCGGATTAACAGATAAAGTTAACCGTGGCAGCTGTGCTCCTAACCAAATATCACTTTTGTCCCCTTGTTCACCTTCTGGAGTTTTCTAAACCAAGGTTGTTGAAGAGCCTGGCAGCAAATTGCACGCGGCCCACGTGCCCGCAGCGAGGGACCTGGTGCCTAAATATAAACCAGGCTCTCACACATTGAAGTCCACGGCACTCTGGAGCAAAGGCGTTCTAGAGGGAAAGAAGCGTTTCTGAACTTGAACTTGGTGCACGCTCCTTATGGTCTGAGATCACCTTGTGCAGTGCTCTGAACTGTGCCCAGTCTGCCTGTCTGTTTCCCCACCATGCCATGGCACTTGGAACTTCTCTTACTGCTCACACTGTGTCTGCAGACAGACCGGGGCTCCCTGTGGACAGGATCTGCTGACACCATTGCCACGCAATCAGGGCTGGCGTGTGGAGTATTGTCCCCTGCCTGAGGGCTTCTGGGGGCAGCTCTCGGGGGTGAGTGAGAACAGATGACTGGGCACCTTAGAGAGTCCCAGGTGTCTCAGGTGTCCTGAGCTGACTGCTTCAAGGAAAGTCTGAAAAGTTAAGGACCTTACATGTAGATGCCACTGAAATTCACATGGGCAGTGGCTCCAAAGTAAACAAACACCAGGTAGCATTGGATCCCATACAAACCCACCCTGATGGTGGTGGGGAAAGCATCAATCTGCTAGGCTGAGACTTTTTGAAAAGAAAAACAAAGCTTATAATAGTTTCTTAGTCATCCAGCCAAATGCTTGGTCTTCAGATGCTAGTTGTGGGAGGGGGGGGTATGCGTGTGTCTAGCATGGGACCTACGCAATCTCAGCCAAATGTGAACTAGAATCCCACCCTCAAGGCCGACCCTTTCTACTGTTCCTCCCACCAGGGAATTCTGAGAGCACTCAGTTCATTTCATTTTAATAACCATGTAATCTTCCGTTGACTAGGAACCCAAAAATCAAAAATAATAATGTGTGGACCCTGCTGTGAGGGTCGTTCAAGGCTAGCAAATGACCATCTCGTGTTAACACAGTGTGATACCCAGGATGAGGAAGGCATGCGTGGCACACTGAGCCGAGGAGGAAGCTGCCCAGGCAGAGCTCTGAGAACAGATGAGCACAAGCTACGTGGAGATGAAGGGAAAGGAGTTCCAGCAGACAGCCTGATCCAAACTCCAAGTTCAAGAAAGGGCATCCGTGGTGCAGAAGAGCAAGATGTGCCCTTTTAACAGAATAAAAGGTGGGAAACAGGGGGACAGGAGACAGGAAAGGTAGACAGGGTAGGGGCTTTGTCAGCCTACGGAGGTTAGGTTCAACTTCACCCTGTGATTTAAGAACGGCCATTAAGAACATCTAATGGCTATTAACGGAGTACTACTCTGCCATAAAGAATTCTGCAGGAAAATGGATGCGCCTGGGACATATAATGTTGAGTGAAATCAATCAGACACACAAGCTTGAATAACAGATGGCACCTCTCGTTTGAGGGAGGGAAGTACACAGAGAAAGAGAATGGAGAGAATGGCCAAGGAGATGGAGCTATTGCGATAGGAGAGTGGTCCAAGGGAAAGCGGAAGGGGCTGAAGAGGAGAACAGGAAGTAGGTAGAATACAGACATGTCACGTACGGAGCCTAATAACCTCAATTAATGTAAACATTACGCGCCATAGCACTAGCTGAGGTTAATAATACCAACAAGAGTGAAAAGTGGAACAGAGGAATGGGAGGATGAAGGAAGGAGGAGAAAGGAAGGGAAAGTGATTTAAAAAGAAAGAAAGAAACAAGCTGTAGCATGCACACGGAACCCCTCCCCAAAACAATGAACTGTATGAACTACAAACTGCAAACACGTACTAATAAAAGATTTTAAAAATGTTTAAAGAAAGTAGAAATGCACAAAAGAACAGTCATTAGAGCACATCTAAGCAGGAGAGGGGAAAGGTCACATGTGCCTTTTGCAGTAGATCATTCTGGCAGCTGGGGAACATTAAAAGGCTATTACAGCAATCACAGAAACAGATAATAAGCAGAAATTAAGGTTGAACAGAGGGCAGGATCCAGAAATATTTAGGAAGACTTAGAAGTTTCTAGTGACTGATTGGAGGCAGTGAGAGCAAGATAGCAGTGTCGCAATGGGTCACAGTCATATCACTGACTTTGAGCAGACCGTGGGGCGGGGCTGGAGGTTGGGACAGTCTGGGAGTGCAGCGGGCTTGGCCCAGAGCAGGGCAGCTCATGGCTGCTACTGTGAACAGATTTGTTTGGGCTTTTTTTTTTTAGTAATACATGCTTGCATTTCATAATGTTTCCATTCATTGTGGGTAGTTGAGTTTTTTTCCAAGGTTACACAAAAATGTCCAGGCAGGTTTGCACCTGAGGTCTCACCACTGCACAGAAGAAATAATTTTGGGAGTGATCACCATGTAGAAATCAGAGGTTGCAAATTGGCAGACATGAGTCACATCTGAAGACACAATTTGACTTCTTGATTGTTGCCTCCTACAATGTTCAAAAGACTTTTTAATCCATTTTAGCATCGCTAATGTGCAAAATATGAAATATTTTACTTTGCAAATTCCAAACTTATGGCTCCTCTTGAAAACGTGGGAGATCCAGCACCATCAAGCCCACTTTCTGTGTGGCATCAGTTGTGGAACTGAGCAGCCACTACCTTCTTTCCAGAAGGGCTGGCCTTAACTATTGGTCACCTTTTGCTAAGCTAAGGATCAGCTGCTACTTAACATCATTGGAGTCAGAAGTAAAATATTAGGTGCATTTCTACTACTATAAAATTTTAGGAATAACATATTAACTCACTATTCACCGAAGTGATAGATTTTGCTTTACACTTTGGCTTAAGAAGATACATGCCTAGGAATGCATTCAGTTTTTAAACGCAGTAGCATTATGACCCTGTCGGTTTCCTCTGAGTACTAACACTATCGACCACGAGTTGTTCTTACAGTTAGTGAATGTTGGGGATAGGCAGGCCTAAATTCCTGAATATGTAGAACTTAATAAAAACTGTCAAAAATCATTTCCCATAGACAAGGTATGGTCAAAACTATGGGAACGTTTAAATTTTCATTTTATTTTCCTTCGCACATGTTTGCAATTCATGCAGCTGATAATCATCAAGCACAATTAACTCGGCATGCTGGCCGCTTTATTCAGTAGTTCTGGAAGTCATCTTTCACGAGCCTCCATAGTTGTGTTGCTGTGGCTGCCTTAGTGTCGTCTCCTCTGAAAATGTTGTTTGTTAGTGTCTTTCATTGTGCTGTCACAGCTGCCTTAATATCCTGAATCATTCAAAACACGTACCTCATATGAACATTCTGACTCTGAGAAAGAGCTCAAAGTCACTTCATGCCAGAACCAGTGAGCAAGGTAGAGAAGGACACACTATAATATTTTAGACAGAAATCACTACAAATGCTGATACACAAGAGGTGATCAAAACATGTATGACGCGTGGTCCCCTTCCCATTAACAAAAGATCTACCAGAGAGAGGGAGAGGAGAGGCAGGCAGGCAGAAGCAGTTAATCAGCATTATGCTCACGTAGAAATTCCCCAGGTTGAGTGTAATTACTGTGTACTGCAAACACGTACCAATACAAATTTTAGAAGTTCAAAAAATGAGGAGTGTTTAAGGTGGTTTTTTTTGTTTTTTGTTTTTTGTTTTTTTTATTGGTACCAGGGATTGAACTCACAACCGCCTGCTTGCAAGGCAGGCACTTATGCCGCTGAGCTAAATCCCCAGCCCCTGAGTGTTTAAGTTTTAAAATTTGTTACAGTAAAAGACACATCCCCATTAATCACCTTCAAAATACGCCCTCTCGCTTTGACCACCCTTATCCCATCATCCCTGACGTGTGTCTTTTACTGTAACAACTTTTTTAACTTAAACATTCACTGTATCTTTTGATCACCCATGTAATTTGATGAATTTATTTCCATATTTAACTGGGAATAGTCCCATAACTCACGCCAAACTGTGAACCTTCAAACTTCTTTATCTAATACTTGAGACAACAGAAAACTTGGATGCATTGAATTCCATGTTGCTGTAAAAAACTTACGTTAGTCAAACTGGCCAGTTTTTGGTTTATTCTCATTAATTTCCTTTCACCTCATCAGGAAAGAGAAGTCTGTAAAAGGCTCAAAAGAAGAGCCATGGAAATGAGAAAGAAAGGTATGCACTGGGCTCTCCTGCTTCCTGGCAGCGTAAAATTCACTGCCAACGCTGGTGGTGGCAAAAGCATCAAATCGTTCTCCAGATACCAGAAGACTTCTTGTCACAACCATATCTTAAACTTTTCTTTAATGTTCTGACTTTACCTTTTCTTTTCCTCTTATTACAATATAACGCTTTATAAAAGTTTCCCACAATCATCATCCTAGGAAGAAATATATATGCAAAACTTGTCAAATATTGTAGTGTTGGAAGTTCCATATTTATAAGCCACCACCACTGCCTACAGCACAACCACCAGCCAACCCCAGCCGGCTACACAATTGCTTCTCCTTGGTACAGAGCAGCAGAGGTCTGGACTAAAAAAACAAGAACAATCCAAACCCAAAGTGGGCACAAGGAAGGAAGTTATAAAAATAGAAGCAGAAATTGATGAATTTGAAAGTAAAAAGACAATATAAATTATCAATGAATCATAGATCCAAATCTTCCAACGACTAAACAAAATAGACAAACCTTTAGCTAATTTACAAAAAAATGGAAATAAAAGACCCAAATCAATGCAATCAGAAATGAAGTAACAATGGACACTGCTGAAATCTAGATTATTAGCAATCACAACCCTATACACCAATAAATTGGAAAACTCATGACAAATGCATTCCTAGTTACAAACAAATTATCAACTAAGCAAAGCACAGGAGCAGAGGGATTCACTGCTGAATTCTAAAAGAATTTCAGGAAAGAACCAGCATTAATACTCCTCAAGCTCTTTAATGAAAATGAAAGGAAATGAGCACTCCAGAAGTATTCCTAGAAGCCAGCATTATCTTGATTCCAAAACCAGTGAAGGACTCAACCAAGAAAAAAAACCAACCACAGGTCAGTCTCTTAAAGTTTTTAGATGTGAAAATCCTCAACAAGATTCTGGAAAACAGAATGCAACAAACCTTCCAAAAGATCATACATCATGATCGAGTAGAATTCATCCCGGGGATGAAAACATGGCTCAATATATAAATCAACACATGTACTACATCACAGAAACAGGAAAATAAAAATCACATGATGGGGCTGGGGATTTAGCCCAGCAGCATAAGTGCCTGCCTTGCAAGCGCTTGGTCATGAGTTCAGATCCTCGGTACCGATAAAAAAAAAAAAATCACATGATCATCTCAACAAATGCAGAAAGACAGACTCTGAGATCATCCCTTGGCTTTTCCAATCACACCATTTATTCATAACCTCTAATGCAAAGACTTCGTGTTTCAAGATCAGTTCACTTTTGCCTTCTAGAAAACTACTGTCCACCTTACCTTTGATGGTTAAGTTTCCCCATCTTCGAATAAGTGACTCAACCAAGGCTTGATGATGCCTTCGTGAATATGGTCAATGAGAAAGTAGCTATATCATAACTGAGACAAAATACCAGAGAAAATCAACTTAAATGGAAGAAAGGTCTAGTTTGGCTCATGGAGGTTTTAGTTCCCAGCGAGTAGCCTCCATTGATTTCGGTGCTATTGTAAATAGTGCATCATGATTGGGAACACAAACAGAGCTTGGTACGCACCTCAGGAAATCTGGGAACCAAAAAGAAAGGACGAAAGTCTCAATGCCCACTAAAGGGCTCACCCTCATGACCTAACCTCCCTCTGCTAGTCTCTGCCTCCTCAAGCTCTCCCACCTCCCACCAGCATCACAGGATGGCAGCCAAGCCTGTAGCACACGGGGCTTTGGGTACACTTTATGTCCAAACTATAGCAGGACTCTAACTTTCAGTAATCAGTTACCTTTGTGTATCTCCCTTGAACTTTTTATTTCCTGTCCAGTGTTTTTTTTTTCCTGTCTCCACTTGGATTTCTCCACACTTTTCTGCCTTAAAACATCAATACAGTTCATATTATATATTCTTTTCATAATTTGCTCCGTATTTCAAGGGATGATGAACAGGCCACGATAAACACAAAAGTCAAAAATGTCTGTACCAGCCTAGAAATCTCCTCCACTAACAGCTTCGCCACAAAAAAGGAAGTTCAGATCCTCTCAAGTAGTGTTGAAGTCAAACACAACATATGACTCCTGCTGTGGTCTTGGAACATTAGTTTACATACGCACTATGCACTCCGCTTAGACGAACCTGTGACTTTAAAAACCAACTCCTAATCCCAGATCTTCAGCTTCTTTCTTGCTTCAGCTTCCTGTGCATAGAAAGAAAACAATCTCAGTGACATTGGACAGAGGTGCAATAAGCCACGCATGCCACGATGGATGTGTTAATGTCATTGAAAAGACAATGACCAGCCTTTTGTGAAGCAAGCTTCAGTCAACGTTTTCTGAAGGAAGGATCCCATCACAGCATAAGACATGGATGCCGTGATTCATCTGTAATTTGTTTGTCTGCTTGTTTGTTGAGACAGTGTCTTACAGTGCAGTCCAGTCTGCCCTTGAACTCACTATGTCACCCGGGACAACCTCAAACTCACTGTAATTCTGTCTCGTCACCTCCCTTAGTGCTGGCAGTGTAAGTCTATACACACCACTCAATCAAAATTCTTAACCAAATATCTTCCTATTTAAACAAAACTCTCTAATTTCCTGTAAGAAATAATAAAACATAAATAATCCAATGCCTTACTCATTCTAATAAAACTAAAACCACCCGCTATATTTTAGAACACCTTGCAAGAGTTTATTCTGTTGTTTCCTTCTTCTAAAACATACTAGCAACTGCGAGGTTACTAATCTTGTCACTCAAATCCATGCTTTATCAGGATATAGATAGATGGAAATTTTTTGTTTTATTTTTATAAGCTATGTTTATCATGCACAATGGGTGTATTCATCTTGGGGAACTGGTACACGTAAATAACATGTCTCAATTCTTTGGCATCATTTCCCCCCCTTCCCTCCCATCTCTCTCCATGTCTCGTTCCTCTTTCCTTTTACAAAAGATCTGTCTCCTTCAAATCCATAATTACAAGGAAAAAAATTTTAATTGTGGGTGCATTAGCCAGCATATTTACATATCTGTTCAACCCAGTAATTGCTATAAAGCCAGTCTTATTATTCAAAGTCAAAATGTAAAATAATTCCGTTATTTTTAACATTTTTGAATGAACAGACTAATTCTATTATAATTTTTAAACATAAATAAAATACAAATTGCATCTGTGCCATTCATCCTCAGACAACAGCTTGTTAACAAGGCAGAGAAGGAACAGGTGAATGCTTGGAAATTTCTGGAACTGACATGAGCCTGATGCCAACCAGGCTGGGTGGCCCCAGGAGCAGAATCTGAGAGATAATTTCAGGCAGCCTGGGGTGATATAATTGCCCAGGCTTATTGTGGGACAGAAAGACTACTACTGTGTGTCATCTTCACTGAAGACTTAAGTCCTACTTGTGAAAAAAATACAAACAAGAGCAGATTACTTTGACAACAAGGGTAACTATTCCAGCTCACCATAAATTCAATGTAAGCCCACAATTTTGTGCACATGAAGCTCTACAGTTTTCCTAACTTCGTTTCCGGTTGTCCTTTGAACAAGGGGGGAAAACATAATGAAACACATTCTCTTCTAACTTCTCAAATGAATTCCCTGACATGGGGCTGAACTCTTGTGCTCAGCGTTCTGCACTGGCCGAGCCGGGAGATGAGAATGCTTGACTTCCCTCCTTGTCTACATCTGACTTTCCCCTGAGAAGCTCCAGAAAAGAGGGGAAAAGCACACACGTTCTCCTGATACCTGTTTACCAGCACTTCCTCCCATCACTGAGTGCATATTCTAAATATGAGGACCACAAAAACAAATTAAGATGTACATTGATACCAAAGAAAATATTCAAAAGATTATACAAAAAAGTAGAGTGCCACCTATTATTGAGGCCATTATTGCTGTAAATAATTACAGTATATGAACTACTTATCTAGCATTGTGTCTGGACCATTTTTCTCCCTGCATTAAATTATTTAAATGAACACTGTCTCTGGCATAATTTTTTAAACTTTGACTCTCAGAACAATGCGTTTGACAGCTCTTAACCTTATATGCCAACACTGCACACTCAGGACCTTAGAGCGTCCGAATTCCTCCTGTTTACTGATTTTCTTTACTGTGATCATGCCGCTGCTCCACGGGAAAATGTCACTGTCCATTGCATTAGCACAGTAATAACCTTTTCTTGCATTCCTGGTGAAGGTAAATCATGATAAATAATGTCAACTTTAATTTTGTGGTATATTGCACTAAATCACAGAGAAATCAAGAATAAAATGTTTTGCTCCTCTTTCTTCTGGCACAAGAATTTTAAAAACTGGTGCAGACTTCACAAACTGACTAGAGTTAACCTCTGCAACTTACAGCAATAGAAACTGAGGCACAAAGAAAGCAAATGACTTAGCTCACCCACCTCACTGGTGGCAGATGCAGGCATGGACTCTTAACTCCAGCCTGCTAAGGTAGAGCCTTGCGCTTCCCACCATTCCTATTTTGTTTTCTGCTTACTTTTATCACAGAAAATTTTATTTATTTCTTCAAATTAACTAGTGTTATTGCATAATGCCAGCCTCAGAAACTCCCTCAATAATACTTCCAAATAAATATATCGAATTTGATTATTACAATGCAGTTTTTACATTACAAAATTTAACAACCAATACTCAAGAGATTGCATATATTTCATATATATAGTATATATCACATACTTGTATGCAACATGTATGTGGTACATGATATATACATACATATGACGTATTGCAATATGCATATATACACAAGTAATGGTTGACTTTTGACTTCCAAGAAGGAATGCCAAGTTAGTCTCTCATATTTACCAGCCAATCCCACCAGAGAAATGCTAATTCTCTAATGATGTTCTATCTACAACATCAATTATCTGCTCAGGATCAAGACCTCTGGAAAAGCCTCATGTTTTTGCCTTTGATTGCAGTGAATCTGCTATCAGATTTGCTGTCAGAAAAGGAATTTTTTTTTGCACCATCTTTTTTCACCAGCTGTTGTGAATTAAGAAGTCCTTCAATTAATTTTGCATAATCTAAATTTCCGTGAGGTTTCCAAGTATCGTTTCTGTAGAACTCTTCCACCTTTCATTCACTTCAAGTTACGAGAAGTACTTTCTACACCACAAATTCTTTGGGCATGTTGCTTTGAGTTTTTACTCTTCCCAGGCTGCATCTTCACTCCCACCCTCCGTTGGCTTCTCTTACTTACCTGAGGAAATCAATCTTGAGTTGAACAAACACAATAACTCAAACTCGTCAGACCCATCCTCATCACCCATTTTTGCCTCTTGGCCTAATGGCCAGTTTCACATCACAGAAGGTTCCTAAAGGTGAGGTACAGAGTGTGACTCATGAGGAAGCCTGCTATTCTGCTAAAGAACTTCTTGAGGTTTCTAACTCTTACATGAAGAGGTCTGATGAACAAGCGTGGGAATGGATTTTAAGGATGTGGGATAATGGTGGCAAAAACATACCTTTGGATTAGGCCAAGTTTGTCAACATTCACTGATTAAGTAGAGATTCTAAATTTCATATTGCAGTACATGGAAATGAAACAAGATATTAATAGTTTATTTGGCTGGTTGGTAGACATAACGATCAAAAGATGGCCCACTGTGAATGAGTTAGAGATATCTGATATTTCTTGGGCTACTGTTCATGAGGCAATTCAAAGTCTCAGGAAAATGCAAATGTTGAGTGGGTTTATCTGTTAAACCTAATCCCCCACACTGAGATGACCTTAAAAATGTACCATTCACTAACACCTTGAGGAACAGATTCACAAGGGGAGCATTCCTGAATAGTCCAGCCATTGCTCTATATGGCAGACCTTAAAGTGGGAACCACAGTTATTCAACTGAAAAACTTAAGGGCCATGGGTTTAATTGGATCCCAAAGTGGCAGGGGTAAGAGGCCATATGCACCCAAAGGCCAGGTGCATATACTCATTCTAAAGGACAGCAGAAGAGTCCCAGGGTGCCATCTTCCAGAATGGTGGAGGTCTAGAGAATTTGTTACTTAGGACTGGGTTCATAGTGCTCAGCAGTCCAGGCACTCAACCCTCAGAGGCAAGTAGCCTGGCTACTACCTCAAATGCTAGCAAACCTTAGCATCATCCAGATGATGCCAGTTTTAAATGCATGCAGAATTCAAGAGTTGTGTGGTCAGGAGGGCTTCTACCCAGATTTTAGAAGGTCTGGGAAGGCCCTGAGAGAGCCCATGTGAGGGCAATATACCCTTGAGAGGGCCTCTAAGAAGGCAGTGTGCCCCTCAAAGGGCACATAGTGAAGCTGTATGAAGCCAGTAGTGCAACGGAGACCCCAAGAGGTTGGAAAAGCCAGGAATGTAGATCATCTGAAGAAAGCCTCAAGGAGAAAGCAAACATGGCCCAATGAGTCTAGGAGGGTTAAAACATCTAGCAGTGGAATGGAGCCATGTAAGCCCTTTGGAATTCACATTTTTCCACAGATTACCCCAGGTACTGAACATGAAAATACAAGATCTAATATTTACCTTGCTGGGTTTCAGGCTTGCTTTGGTCCCATTCCTTCCAATCCCCTAGTGTTAGTTATTCCCTTGTTGCTGGGACAAAATACCTAAAACCTACGAGTCAAGGAAGGAGAGAAGTTTATTTTAGCTCACGATTTGTAGAGGTTTCAGTCCATACTTGGTGAGCTTCAAAGCCGGGCAACATGGCAGAGGGGCATCACAGAGGAAAAATAGTCCCTTTATATTTATCCCTCAGCACCTAACCTCCTAAAGCCAAGAAAGCCTACTGATTTTTGTCACCTACACCTAGGATACAGCTTCCCTCCCACACCTAGAATAATGCTAAGCCAAACAGGGGACCAATCCAATTACCATACCCTTAATCCACATTCATAAATCCAAGATTAAGTTACCTCTGAAAAGTGCCACCTATGGGTACAACACACCTTTGGGGAGGGAGGACATCTAAATGCAAGTCTTTAAATTCCCTATGTATACTTTTTGGAATGGGGATGTCTATTTTGTGCCACTACTTGTTTGAAGTATTTAACTTTCTTTTCCTCCTTAGAAGAGTTCATAGCTCAGAGTTTGCCTTAAATTTCAGAGGAGAATTTGGAGTTGCATTTTTTTAGCAATGCTAAAACTGTTAGGACCTTGACAACTCTTAGAGACAGGCTAATTGTATTTTGCATAAAAGGATGTGCATGAGTCTTTTGAGGGCCAGCGCAAAATGTTATGGCGTATACCTAGATGTCTCCCCAGTCCTCTCTCTCTCTCATAGGTGGAGTTTTTGAGAGGTGACTGGGTCATGAGTGTGTGGCACTGGACTAAGGTTCTGTGACACACTGGATTAGCTTAACAATCGGTTTAGCGTACTTCTGGGTGTGATTGATGGACATAATTAAGTTGGAAAGATCCATCTTGAGTGTGAGTGGTACCAAAAAATGGGCTTGTCGCCTAGGTGGACTCTAAAGGGAAGGAGGAAGGAAGTCCCTGATGACTCCTGCATGCCATGCCATGAACTGTTTGTCCTCTGCCACATCGCTCTGCCACACCACCCTACTTTAGAGCCCGCCAAATATTGACTAAAACATCTATAAACTGCAAATAACTTGTGAGTGTCAAGTATTTTGCCCAAGGAATGAGAAAGTAACTAAAACAGGCACAGACAAAAATAACTTCCCAGAAAAACTTGCCCTCAAAATCGTAGGAAATAGAAGTCTATTAAGACATGAAAACTGTAGACAATAACCCTGCTTAATCTCAAGAACATGTAAAAGCTGCAGCCCCCTCCACAACTGTCAGCAATGGCTAAGGTGCAAGCGTAGCCTTTTCCGCATTTCAATGGTGATGGCTGTACCATGCCACAAATAATATGGCCACATACCAGATCTAAAGCAGTGATGGTAAACCTTTGAGCGACCAAATGCCAAACCACCACCCCAAACCCACTTATTTATTGCAAAGTGCCAACATTGCAAATAAACCTGAATATCTGATGCTCTGCTTCTAGGGTGGTGCTTGGCATTTTTCTTCTCACATGCAACAAAGAGACTTCTGACATAGGTTCACTACAACTGGCCTAAAGCATCTAGAAGCTCAATAGGGAGCCAGGACTGTCAAGGTCCCTGCCCTAATGTAAGAGGTCATAGGATGCCACACGGGCAGCCTGAACTTCTACCCCCTCCCATGATCCACCCAGCAGTAGTGAGGTCCCACTCTTCAGTGTCACTGGATTCCAAGTGGACACAGCTAATGAGGCTCCGTCCGTTCACAGAGAGCCTTTACTACCGCACGCCCTTGGCTTCAGTGCAGAAACCCTAATAATCACTGCACAGGATGCCTAGGAAAACCAAGTGGGGGACCCACCTGTACTTCCACTCCATGTAGCAGTTACGAGGCAGTGATTCTTCCTCCACTGATATAATAGCAGAAGACTTCTTCCAAAATACAAGATTTAAATAAAATCCAGAATTTCACTATGTAATGGTCAAAATCAAAATTAGTCAACCAACCACAAACCCGGAAAGCATCAACATAATTGAGAAAATGTAAGACATGCCATCACTGAGAGAGCACAGAGGTTAAAATTGTTTGACAAAAAGTTTAATGTTCTATCTTTAAAATGTCTCAACAAGCAATTACAAGCATATTTGAAATAGAAATTCTAAACAAAGAAATGAAAATTTCCAGCTAGGAAATAAAATATAAAATGAAACTAAAGGGATCGCACTGTCCTGATTTAAAAATCTGCAACGTTATAGTGATTCAAACAGCATGATGCTGGCATACAAATACATAAACCAATGAAACAGAAAAAAATCCAGAAATAAATCCACACATTTATCTTTGTGGAACTGACTTTCCACAAAGATCCCAAAAACATGCAGTGGAGGGGAGGACAGTCTTTTCAATCAATGGTGCTGGCAGAAGGGAAAATCAACACACACAAGTATAAAATTAAATCATCAGCTCCAATCATTTACAAAAATCAACTAAACAGAGATTAAATATTGAAATGACCTAAGACTGTGAGAAGAAAACATTAAAAAAAGGCTTCTTGACACTGACCTACCTCGTAATATTTTTATATGACTCCAAAAGCAAAAATAGACAAATGAAATTGTATCACACTAAAATCCTCACCCACCTCAAAGGAAAGAATCAATAAACTGAAAACACGCAGAATGTAAGAAAATACTTTTAAATCATATATTTTTGCTCATATCCGGAATATATAAGGAACTTAAACAACTCAATAGCAAGAAAACAAACTGGTCAATTAAAATAGGTCATTCTCACAGAAGACATACTAATAGCAAAGGTAATTGGTATACTGCTTTATGGAAAAAAACTTAATTTTGCCAATCATCATAGAGATACAAATTGTAGTAAAATGTGATTTTGCCTTACATCGACAGCAATGACTACTATCAAAAACAAAAGGTAAACATCGGCAAGAGTATAGAAAAAGGGGAACACGTCTACCTCGTTGGTAAGAACATAAGCATAGTCACCACAGAAAACAGTGTGGAAGGTTCTCAAACAATTAAAAATACAACTGCTGTGTCACCCATAAATCCATTAACGGTTAAATGTCTAAAGTAAGTTAAATTAGAATGTCCAAGAGACATTTGCATTCCCATGTTTATTACAATACTATTCACAATAGTCAAGATATATAATCATCTGTGTTCACCGACCACTGAATGGATAAATGTGATATATCCACACAATAAAATACTACTCGGCCTTTAAAAACAAGAGAGTCTGTCATTTGCAACAAAATAAATTAATTTGAAGGACATAATGATAAGTAAAATAAGTCACATAAATAAAAGTAAATACTGCATATATCATTCTTGTGTGGAATCTTAAAAAGTCAAACTCATAAAAATAGAGAACAGAATGATGGTTACCAGAGTTTGAGAGGTGTGAATGTTTAAAGAGATATTGGACAAAAGATATAAAATTTCAGAGACACAGAAATAACATGTTCAAGAGACCTAATACACAACATGGTAACTTATGTAATAACTATGTGTTATACATTTAAAAATTGCTAAGGGTAGATCTGAAATGTCCTCATTTACAAATAAATGGTATGTGAAGTAATGTCTATGTCAATGACACTGTTGTATACAAATTTCAAAACTATCATATTTTATAAACACATATAACTAAAACCTTATTTTAAAAAGGACCAAATGGAAATTTTAAATTCAAAAATGTATTAATCAAAATTAAAAACTCAGTGCATAAACAAACAGCAGATTGGAAATGATAAAAGCAAGAATTAGTAAGCTTAAAAATGGAACTACAGAAACCGCTCAACTTCCACCATAGAAATAAAATAGACTATGAAAATGAGCAGAGCCTCAGGAAACTGTGGAACTATAAAAAAAAAATCCATAGTCATGTTCCCGGCATCCCCTAGAAAAGACAGCACCTTTGCTCCTCACACCTACAGTCAACGAGCTTTGTATACCTTTTCGTTTCTTTCACCTCATAGACTCTGAACACCTAAGACAGCATGAACTGCATCCTCCATCTCTACAAGCCGTGTCCCGAGAACAGTGTCATTCACATGGTGAGTGATCCATGAACATTAAGCAAATACATATACTCCTTCCTATATTTTCCTAGGTATTCTGTACAACATTTATGAGGATCAAAATCTATTTTAGTTTTGCTACAGAGTCAGAATGGCCAACTCTTTCAAAAACCTCTTCATCACCCCCCCCCAAAAACACGTAAAGAGTGGAGAAATAATTCTGCCCCCAGAGAAGCAATCTACTTGAATCTAATTCAATATCAACAACAATATTTTCAAATAATGCTGTGATATCAGTGCACCAGTATCTTCTCAACTTTTTGACATACAATGATGTCATTAAAGCAGAGTACAACATTATAGAAGGATTTTATGAAGAAATGGTCTCTTTATTCAATTTATCAGGGAGAGCATACTAATAAAAGTCAATTCATATTCTGAATTTTTGGAAAGCTGGAAAAACCCAAGAAGTGATTTCATGTTTTATGGATGCAGGAAACCATAGTTCAAAGATATGTCATTTATTATCTGTGACTTGCTTTTTTAACCACCTAGATCAAAGAGTACTAAAAACTCTAAGACTCGGCTAGATTAAACTATTTATGGAAAAACGGGAAGCAAGTTCCATCCTCATGTCCCCATTATATCTTAGAAGAGGTCTGTGCTAAGATTTGCATGGGTCTGCCTTGGGGGCCAGTTTGGAATGAGAATTCTCTCACTTCCTCTCAGTGAGATCAGCACCCAGGTGTGAGGAAGGATCTTGGCTTGTTCCCTCCGTGGTGTTAAACGTGCCCATTCCACCACTAGTTCTGTGCCGCACCAGGAAAAGCACTGTACCACCACCACCCCAATGCACCAACTAATAAAATGGTAGCTCGCTAGAGGGGCTGGGTCTTTTGTCCCCAGAGGACATGGATCATCCCAGAGCTCTGTTGCACCCCTCTATTTTGTCTCTTGCTCTTTTCTGCCAAGTGCACCATCCAGGCAGGAGATCGGGCGTCCTCAATAACTGGCTGTTGAAAAAGTCGCTGACACTGGAGATTTCCTGTCTAGCCCGCTG